TGGATGCTACCTTTCCTCCACCTCCACGGACAGCTTTGATCATAACTGGGTAGCCGATCCTTCTGGCTTGCTCTTCCAGAAACCTATCCGATTGGTCTTCACCATGGTAACCTTCCACCACAGGAACTCCAGCCGCCGACATGATGGCCTTAGAAGTACTTCAAGGGAACACACCTTCACGTTCAGTGTCAACAACAGAAGGAACTGGGCAAGAAAGCTTTTCACTCCCACAACCCACCTCTCTTTCAACTGATGCACTTTCTTTACAGCAGGGGTCTTCAAACTTGGCCCTTTTAGGACTTGTGGACTTCAACTCCCAGAATTCCTCAGCCAGGCACACGTGCCTGGCTGAGGAATTCTGGGAGTTGAAGTCCACAAGTCCTAAAAGGGCCAAGTTTGAAGACCCCTGCCTTACAGTATTGAGAAAAAAACCCACATTCCATTTTGATCAAGGGGAAAATCTAGGGCTCCACCAAGTGTCAAGACTGATTTATTTATTTATTTTTATTTATTTAATTGAATTTTTACCCCGCCCTTCTCCTTGCAGACTCAGGGCGGACTCAGGGCGGATTGATGCCTGTAAATCAACCACTACTACATCTAGATTCTTTCCCTTTCCATCTCTAATTTAACCTCAATTATATTATATAAAGGAGTTCCCTGTGGATTTTACTCTGCTGATCGTTGCCGATTCTAGGCGACAGTGCTCATCTCTGTTTCAAAAGCCATTGAGCCAGGGCTGTCCGAAGAAATTTCTACGGTCATGTGGCCAACATGACATCATGGACCACAGTTATCTTCCCTTTGAAGTGGTACCTATTTATCTACTCCCATTGAAGTGAATGCCTTCAGTTGTTAATAACAGGTTTGTTAATTGAATCTGGTGTTCCCATTTGCTTGTCAGAGATCGCAAAAAGTGATCACATGACCCCGGGACATTGCAGTCATCATAAATATGAATCAGTTGCCGAGTGTCTAAGTTTTGATCACATGACCGTGGGGATGCTGCAATGGTCCTAAGTGTAAAAAATGGTCATAGGTCACTTTTTTCAGTGCTGTTGTAACGTTGAATGGTCACTGAATGAACTGTTGTAAGTCAAGGACTACCTGTACTGCATTTGGGTGCTCTGCGCTGACCCTATTTCATTTGAGACCATAATTCTCAGAATACTAAAGGATCGAAGGGTCAATTCACTGCATTTATCTAAGAGGGCAGCCCAAGTCAAATACAAGGAACAATCTAGTACAGGGGTAGGCAACCTCGGCTCTTTTATGACTCATGGACTTCAACTCCCAGAATTCCTGAGTTGAAGTCCATGAGTCATAAAAGAGCCGAGGTTGCCTACCCCTGATCTAGTAGTTCCAACAAAAGAATCTCTTCATAATAAATTTAGCCATGAAATAACACAGAATACCTCTTAATGCCCATATCTCTGATTGCAGATGAAGGAGGACCTATGAAAATTATCCCTTCTTGGTTACAGAGTTCAGCAAACTCTGTGTTTTCGGATAAGAAACCATAGCCTGGATGGATAGCCTAAAATAGGAAATATCAAGGGCATAGTGTGAGGCTTTAAGGCTTCTTGATGCTTCTGCTGTTGTAGCAGGTCCACAGAAGCTGCATCTGACCTCCAAAATGCAGAAACGTCTGCACTGCTGTTTCTGTTTGCCAAACTCTCAAAAGCAGATTGAAGCTACCTGCAATCTTTTCCATTGCCACCGACTTCAGAATACTATCATCAATTGGTCATTTCTTCAGCTGACCAATAGGAGAATGCAAAGGTTAGTTAGTGCCCACTCCTCCCACCTAACAATTACCACTGTATGTGACCAGTAAAAAATCTGATCAATTGCTATGAGTGATCCGCAAAGCCATCCAGGCACTATCCTTCTGCTGCACTTAAAATACCTATGGAATAGTAGCATAGTTACATGTTGTTAGGATGGCTGAACCTCTACAATTAGCAGGCATATTAGGGCACATAGTTTAACCACAGAAAGAGAATTAGCGGAATATTTAACGAACTTTGTGGGAAATGAGACCATTTAAAATAGCAGAATTGCTGATTAAAGTTAAACTGCTTTTTTTAAAAAAAAATCAGAATATCAAAGACTGCAATGTGTGAGCTTAGTCTCTTACACACAGACTCTTATGTTATGTTGCACTAACCCAATTTTAAGTAAAAAAATTAGTTGATACAAAGCAGAATCTGTACCTGTGCTGCAGACTTTTTGGCCACTTGTATTATTTTTTCCATGGATAAGTAACTCTGCTGAGCTGGTGCTGGGCCAATGCAATAGGCTTCATCAGCCTACAAGAAAACGGCATCATTTTATTATTGTGTTATGTTTCAGGCTAACTTTTCCACAATATTTTGATGCATCTTTGAAGTACAAACTCGGGCAGTAGAGGGTTGAGCTGGATTAGTTAGAAGGTAGCTTAACAAAATGGCAGCTGAACCATTTTGCTAATAAAGGCCCACCCCTTTATAATTTGTGAGATAACACTGGTTAAAAAAAAGAGACAGGGCTTCAATTCTTCAAAGCCACCATCTTGATTTTTTTGACCACTGCTGTGGACACCCCATGCATAGGACTTCACATTAAAGTTTGAATACTGATTATAAACATTGCTTTATTTAGCCCTGAAATGTGATTTAAACCCTATGCACTGAATTACAGTATTTTTCAACCTTAGCAACTTAATGATATGTGGATTTCAACTCCCAGAATTCCCCAGCCAGCAATGCAGGAATTCTGGGAGTGATAGTCCACATATCTTTAAATTGCCAAAGTTGAAAAACACTGAGCTAAGCCATGACTATTTTAAAGCCTGAACGTATTGTCTTCTAAACATTGTGCAAACCACCATGGTTAAGTTTGCATATAGGCAGTCTTCAACTTACGACCACAATTGAACCCAAAATGTATATTGCTAAGCAAGATGGTTGTTAAATGAGTTTTACCCCATTTTATAATCTTTCTTGCCCCAGCTGTTAATGAATCACTGTAGTTGTTAAAAACATGGTTGTTAAGTGAATCTGGTTTCCCCATTGACTTTGCTTGTCAGAAGGCCACAAAAGGTGATCCCATGACCCAGGACACGGCAACTGTCATAAATATGAACCAATTGCCAAGTGTCCAAAATTTAATTACGTGCCCATGGGGATCCTGTAAAGATCATTTAAATAAGTTACTTTTTTCAGTGCTGTTGTTATTTTGAACAGTCACTAAACACATGGCTTTAAGTTGAGGACTACCTGTATTGTGATCAATCTAAAGCAAGCCAACCACAATATCACCAAGTATGATAAGTGAATGTATTATTCATTCAAGATTATTTGGCTCCATAATTTGGCTCCTTTAAGATCAGTCCTTAAGAGTGTCAGCTGATGAGTTTTACCATGGCTACATGCATTGAATTCCGGTCAGCCTCACTATAAACTGCCACCGACTTCACCCCCATCTTCCGAGCTGTCCGCATCACCCTGCAGGCGATCTCTCCTCGGTTTGCCACAAGGACTTTCTCGATATTCCTTTGACCTGTTTTTCAAATAAAAAGCATTTCAAGGTCTGCAATAATTATGCCAATATCCTATTACTACTAACTTGCAGAGCAGAATGCCAGAATAATGTCATTATTTTTATCTGACTGCAAGTTCATTTTCTAGGTATTATAAATATGTTACCATTTAAAAAAAAATCTAGAAAATTTCCCATAAAGAAAATAAGCCAGATAATTTACCTGTTACAAAAGAATATTCTCTGGTACACAAAGCCCAAAGCCATTTTCTGTGAAAGAAAAAGAACATTGTCAAAAATCCAAACAGGAATTTAATATTCATTTAGTGACCATTTAAAGTTACAACAGAACTGAAAAAAATGATTTATAACCAGTCCTTGCACTTATGACTATTGCAGCATTCCCACAGTCACGTGATCATTATTTGCACACTTGGCAAATGGCATGTATTTACACCTTTGTAATTGGTGTAAATTGAACCGTTGCCATTTGTGACCTTCCAAGCCGGCTTCTGACAAGCAAAATCAATATGGGAAGCCGATTCACTTAATGATCCTAAAACTGGGTGTGATTAATTTAACAACCACTTTTGCTTAACAATGGAAATTCTAGTCTCAGCTGTAGTCGCAAGTTGAGGACTAGCTGCATTCTTAAGTTAGCCCACTGACACTCCAAAAAGTACCGAATGAATGATTTACAAACATTTTCTAGGCATAAGCTATTCCAGAAACATTCAAAGATTCCACCCCTTGCCAGCAGCTCCAACCATTAACTCTGGTTTGCGTAATATACTTTCTCATTTTTAGTTCTACCACTGTTTTTTTCAATAAACACATTTTTGGAGCTCAAATAACATTTTGACCCATTCCTAAATCACCTTGCAGAAGATACATTAAAAAAAAGTGACCTTGTGTGAACTTGGGACAGCTAAGCAAGGATGAGAGCGTGTTCAAACCTGAATGGGAGACCACCAGGAGATTTGACAAAATCCCAAAAGCAGCTTTGGCAAATCCATTCTATACTGTTGACAAGGGAACAACCTGGATCCAACCCTGTAGTTCCTGGGGGAAATTCAAGCTTGCTTCTAGAGAGGATTCAGTTTGTAGTTCAGTGTATTGTGTGAACACAATTCCCCAGGCCTGATACAGCCATTCTCAAAGAACAACAATGCTTTTTAAAAGGAGATTAGACAACCCTTGTCTGAAATGGTATATAAGGTCTCCCCCTTGAACAGGGGGTTGGACAAGATCCCCTTCTGCAATATGGTGGAGGCAATTTGTGCCATATGTCGGGGACAAACGGCTGACAAATCACCTATTACCACTAGTGCTCCAGTTGTCCTAAAGCTGGGTACTTTTTCAAGAGGCAACTGGACTTTCTTGTTTGAAGACCTTTCGCTTCTCATCCAAGAAGCTTCTTCAGCTCAGAGTTGAAGAAGCTTCTGGGATGAGAAGCGAAACAAGAAAGTCCAGTTGCCTCTTGAAAAAGCACCTTTGGCACAACCATGACCTGGATGACCGAGAATCTCCACAGACATTTAGCTATGCTCCAGTTGCTCCATGTTATGGGGGGAGAGGTCGTGTGAAAGTTTAAACGCGCGTCAGACCCAACCCACACGTGCAGGTTGATTTCCAGCAAGCAGTTACAAAGGGCGACCTCAAACACATTCCTCCCACTCCAGGGAGGGGGACGGCGGGGTCCCCCTTTAATTCGAGACCCCCAGCCAAACGGTGGGGCTCTGCAAGTGGGCGGCTCGGCACAGGCGCGGAGCTGCCCACCCGAAGGGGAAAAGCGGCCTTCTCCTCTCCCAGCCTCCCGCGGGAACCCCGGACGGAGTCGGGGGGGGGAGGCTTCCCGCCCGCGCCCCTCTTCCTCGCCCGGCGCACTCACAGGCTCCGCCGGAGCTGGCGTGGCCCCTCGCCGGCCAGCGCCAAGGCCGAGGCCGCCATCGCTGCGCCGGAGCTGAAGACAGGCGGGGACTAGAGCCGGGCTAGCGGCGGCGTTTGGGCCTATCAGCGAGTTGGGAAAGGAGGCCGGGCTCGGGCGGAGGAAGCGGCGGAGCTGCCAGGGAGCTTCCCGGGCGGAGGAAAACTTCTCAACCTTCGCCAAGGAGAAGGGCAGGGCGCGCCCCGTCCGGGGCTTTTCCAGCTGCCGCTGCCCCGCCTAGCCCAGCCCCGTGTTTTTTACCCCCATGGCTTCGTTCCCATTGAAGCTTGGTCTGGTTAGCCAGTTTTCTAACTAGGTTTGTGCAGGGCTTTGGCAAAGGCGAGGAAGGAGTTGGGGGCGCTTCTAAAGCAGCCCCCCACTCCCGGCCAAGCAAGATTCGCTCCCCTTGCACCGGCGTTGGCGAGAAGCCTGGAATCGATGGCTTGGGTGAACCCAGTTCCCGAAATGTATGGATTTTAGAATAGAAAATAGAAAATTAGAATAGAATAGAATATAGTCACTTTAAATCAGTGTTTCTCAACCTTGACAATTTTAAGGCATGTGGACTTCAACTCCCAGAATTCCACAGCCAGCATTGCTGGTTGTGGAATTCTGGGAGTTGAAGTCCACATGCCTTAAAATTGTCAAGGTTGAGAAACACTGCTTTAAATGTACACTAATCCGCATACATTAAAATGAGATTTCATTGCGTACAGCTCTCAAAGGGTAACCACTTCCAATATACACTGCATAAAGGTAACAAAAATAAATAAAATCAATTATGCATATACCCACATACGCACACATATGTGGCCCAGAGAAACAGCACAGTCTAGTTCGGATGTATACATATACATGGCAAGAAAAATACATGAATACAGGTAGACCTCAACTTACACCCTATTTGCTTAGTGACCATTCAAAGTTAGAAGGCACTGTGGAACAAAGTGACTCATGACCCTTTTTTCACGCATAGGACCATCGCAGCAGCCCCACAGTCACGTGATCAAGATTCAGAAGCTTGGCAACTGGTTCATATTTATGAGGGGTTGCAGTGTCCTGGGATCATCAGGTGATCCCCTTTTGTGACCTTCTGATAAGCAAAGTCAATGGGGAAGCCAGATTCACTTAACAACTGTGTACTAAATGGACAGCTGCAGTGATTTATTTAACAACTGTGGCAAGAAAAGTTGTAAAGTGGGGGCAAAGCTCACTTAACCACTGTCTCACTTTGCAACAGAAATGTTGGGTTCAATTGAATTCATAAGTCAAGAACTCCCTGTACTTTGGCAAAGTTGAGGATGGAGTTAAGGGTGCCATACTTCACATCCTTTGCAGGGTATCAGCAACAGGCTTGGAATTGATGGATTGGGTGAACCACCCAGCCCCTGAACTGTATGAACTTATATATAGGAAGTCCTAGACCAGGAGTCTTCAAACTTGGCCCTTTTATGACTTGTGGACTTCAACTCCCAGAATTCCTCAGTCAGCACCAGGGAAGCAGGATATGACCTTTGGGACATAATAGGATTAACCCATCACCATCAGAATACCAGAAAAGCACACTCAGACTCAGGTCAAAGTTCATGCCACAGGAACAGGAAACAACTCAAAACAAAAGACTCCAGAGGGTATAAAAACCCACTCCCTACATGTGCTCAGACCCTTTTTTTTCTCTCCTCTTTCCTGCCAGAAACATCTTTCTTTCTGGCTCTCCTCTTCAATAAACTGCAACCTTCTTTCCAAAGCAGTCGCCATGTTGTTCATCCCCGGCTTGGACTTAACCATGACGAAGACTTTTTCCTTCAACACAGGGTTATCTGATCTCCATTTGTAACCTTCCCAGCCAGCTTCTGACAAGCAAAAGAAGCTGGATTTGCTTAATGACTTCATGACTCACTTAACAGCTGCTGTGATTCACTTACTTGCGGCAAAAAGATCTTAAAATGGGGCAAAACTCAACAAGTGTCTTGCTTAGCAGTGGAAATTTTGTGCTCCATTGTAGTCTAGCTGTGTACGGATAGATCAGTTAGTTTTAAAGGCTGCCCAATTTCAGTGTTTTTCTGAGTGTCAGAAGTCCAAAACACATCTCAAAACAAAGGAGTGGCAGATCACTCCTATTCTCTGCCAAGAAAATTTAGGCTGAGCTCCAGGAAGGTTATGCTTTTTATTGAATAACTAAAGGATAATTGATAAAATACCAGTGAATACAAGGCTGTGTAACCTCAAAGTCAACTGATTTAGCAGAATTTGCTTGGCTTTTTCCATTCTATGTTTCATCAGTTTGAAAATTAGATTAGGTAGCTTGAATTACATGAGACAGATAATGCATTTTGAACCAATCTGTGGTTAACTGAAACATGGTTTATTTAAGTATTTCAGATTCCTGGGTTTGTACAATGCAGTGAGCTACAAATTTAAGCATTCTGGCCAAGCATATTGTGAAGCAACAATCTGTATGTGTGAAAGCCTGCAGAGCTGGTTGAATTCACATGCTATGACAGTGATGGCGAACCTTTTAGAGACCGAGTGCCCAAAAATTGCCCCATCCCTGGCCTGCCCCCGCTCTGCCCACTCTGCTCTGCCCTCAGCTCGCCCGCCCTCAGGGCCATCCACGGCCTGCCGCAGATCGCCCAGGCGGCCCTGCAGCGCCATGGTGGCCATGCCCTCCGCCCATGCCCCACAGCATCATCTGCTGCCCAGCTGCCATGTGCTTGGCTGTGCTGCTCCACCCGGGCCGCACCCGGGGGTGACTCTCCTCTGGGGGGGCTGCTGGGGAGGAGGGGGCTGCGAGGGAGGCGGGGCTGGGGTGATGGCATGCGTGCCCACAGAGAGGGCTCCGAGTGCCGCCTCTGGCACTTGTGCCATAGGTTCGCCACCACTGTGCTATGATATGCCATAACATGGTTTGGTTTTAACTCAGCACAATGTGGAAAAAAAACCAGCCTGGGTGTTTTATAAACCATTATTTATTACCAAGCCAGTTAATGGCTACTCAACAAGCCATGATGAAGTCATGGCTTAGTATAAAGGGTGTATCCACTCATTATTGTAAACTTGAAGTTGGCAGCAGATGTGAAATAATGATCTGTGAGTGATAAGTTGGCATGGGGTTAATTTTGAAAATATCCTACATTCAGAAACTAGAGAAGGGCTGACATCCTATCCCTAACTAAGGAGTAATGTAAAATAATTAATTTCAGTCATAGAACCATTGAATCATAGGACTGGAAGAGAGTCTTCTAGTCCAACCCCCTGCTCAAGCAGTAGTCTTTATCCCATCCTAGAGAAATAGCTCTCCAGTCTCTTCTTAAAAACTTCCAATGTTGGAGCACCCACAACTCTGAGCGGCAAGCTGTTCCACTGATTAATTGTTCTTATTGGCAGGAAATTCCTCCTTAGTTCCAGGTTAAATTTCCCTCTGATAAACCTCTATCCATTGCTTCTTGTCCTGCCCTGAGTGTGTGACAAAACTGTTATTAAAACGCAGAGCATAATGTTTGTTGAAGTTTTTGCCTAAGCATCCCTTACAATGTGTCTACTGCAGACAGATCTGTCTGATAAATTGTGATAAAGGGACACACACATTATTACTACAGTATTAATCTTAATTGAATTCATGGATTACCGTTGCAAATGCATGCAGGTGAATTAAAAAAAGCCAATAACGCTCAAGCAAATAAATACTTTGCTGCTGTTGTATATAGATAATAGACATGTATGCTCGTGCATTGAGCTGATTAATTTCTGATTTAAGTGTTAAAAGTATCAGGAATTTAAAAATCATTTAAAGATGCTCAACTGCTATTGGCATATCTGATTGCCACAGCAAAGCAAGTAGAATCTCCCATTCTTGCTGTTCTTATCGTTTGTTGCTCTATGCCAGGGGTCTTCAAACTTGGCTCTTTTATGACTTGTGGACTTCAACTTCCAGAATTCCTGAGCCACCATGGCTCAGCTTGGAAACCTCTCTCTTTCCCCTCAGCATGGCTGGCTCAGGAATTCTGGGAGTCGAAGTCCACGAGTCATAATAGAGCCAAGGTGGCCTACTCTGGCCTAGGCCTAGGCCGCTTTATGACTTGTGGACTTCAACTCCCAGAATTCCTGAGCCAGCATGGCTCAGCTTGGAAACCTCTCCCTTTCCCCTCAGCATTGATTGGCTCAGGAATTCTGGGAGTTGAAGTCCACGAGTCATAAAAGGGCCAGGTTTGAAGGCCCCTGCTCTATACCCATTCATAAATAAACTTCGGGATTCAGATACGGCTGTATCCAGAGTGAGTTTTCCTTCTATAAAGCACACAGGAGAACAGGATGATGATGATTAATCCGGACAGACTGAAGCCAATTGTTGCTGGGATCAGCCTCTTGTTTCTATCCAAAGTGCACTCCTCTTCTGCAATTTGGAAAAAAAAGAACATTAAATTTCAGTAAAGAAGCATCATATGATTCCACAGTGATTTTCATCTTAGTCAAATAAAGCTATAGAAAATTATCCCAGACCTTGTGAGCACCCTATGTAAAAGCTATCTTTGTATGAGTTGAAATCATCTCAAACTATGGCAAATCTTTAAAGAGGCAGTTTGGGTTAGTGGTTAAGGCACCAGACTAGAAAGCCAGTAGACCAGAGGTCTTCAAACTTGGCCCTTTTATGACTTGTGGACTTCAGCTCCCAGAATTCCTCAGCCAGCCAGGCACTCTGGCTGAGGAATTCTGGGAGTTGAAGTCCACAAGTCATAAAAGGGCCAAGTTTGAAGACCCCTGCAGTAGACCATGAGTTCCAGTCCCGCCTTAGGGATGGCTGACTTTCAGCCAGTCACTCTCTCTCAGCCCAACCTGCCTCACAAGGTTGTTATTTATATAAACCATAAAGGCACGATAAAAATAATGAATAAATAATGCTATGAATGTCTTGACAATCCCAATAAGATTGAAACTAGTCATGTGCTGCCTCCCGGTAGTCAGTACATCTGAAAATTATAAAAGCATTTGTTCTTTGGGGGGGCTACTGGGGAATTTATTAAAGGCAGGAATCCTATGCAGATATTTATATGCATGCATATAAATTGGCTTGGATTAAATGCAGCACACTGAGAGAGAATCAGTGAAATCTTCATCGCTTCACATCTAGCCCAAGACCTATGGTGTGAAAATGTCCCTTTGCACCCTCAGCAGGAAAACTCTTACTCATAGGACACCCCCCCCAGGGTTGCATTTACTAACCTTTTCCAAATTGGTTGTTTACAATATCAAAGGCTTGAAGCTGGGAATTGGCAACCTGCAGTTGAAAGTTGCTGGCCAAGCTCACAGTTTGCGTACTGAGGCATTTGAAGGAGTTTCCCACCGCTGTGGAAAAGAGCTGCTCATTTTTAATTCCATTGTACGCAAAACCTGAAATTTGCAGAGAAAGACACATCATTGTTAATCTTTGTGGCTAATTTTCTCTCTGGGATATCTCTGTGTCTGTGCAATACTAAACCCTAAAACTAATGCCCTGTTTTTTGCCCAACACTGAGCTGTGCTTTAGATGTCCTGGTTGGAGTCATATGATACAGGGGTTCCCAACCCCCGATCCGTGGACCTGTGCCAGGCTGTGGCATACCAGCAACCAGTCGGCACAATCAAGCAAAGCCCCATCCGTGGGATGCAGGCAGCACACAAAACCAGGTACTCTCCAGTCCGTGGAAAAACCTTTCTCCACAGAACTGGTCCCTGGTGCCCAAAAGGTTGGGGACTTCTGATATGATAGACTAGTCCAGGGGTCTCCAAAGTTGGCAATTTTAAGACTTGTGGACTTCAACTCTCAGAATTACCCAGCCAGCATGGGGGATTCTGGGAGTTGAAATCAACAAGTCTTAAAGTTGCCAACTTTGGAAACCCCTGGACTAGGCCAATGTTTCTCAACCTTGGCCACTTTAGGATATGTGGACTTCAACTCCCAGAATTCCCCTGCCAGCATGAAGGTTGAAGTCCACACATCTTAAAAGTGGTCAAGGCTGAGAAACATTGGGTGATTCTAAGATACAGTTGGCTTGGCTGTGGTTCCAGGCTATGTTAATCTGCAGTCTTCCAGATCTTGAGCTGTCTGACAAATATGCTGTTATGAACTGGGAGGGATCTCAATGCCTGATATCCTTACAGCTTTAATGCAGGATAAATTAGTGGAATTCCAAAAAAGTTGTATAAAAGTGTTCCATGCCAGTGAGAAAAACAATCCCCACTAATAGATAGATAGATAAATAACCTTTATTGTCGTTTTTTTACTGTGGGCACAATGGCACACATTAAAAATGAAAGTTAGTTGCTTGCTCTCAAAGTGTACACATACATAACACACATTTAAACATACTATATATACAACATATGTATAGACCTACACCCTTACATATAAGCAACATATAAATACTAATCACTGTCCAACTTGAATACATAGCGGAAGGAGGAAGCTTGAGAGTTCACAAGGTTAATACTGTATGGAACAAAACTGTGACTGAATCTGGATGTTCTGCTTCGGATACCATGGAGCCC